CAAGCATCTTAGCAGCTCACTCAAGGCCTTGATACTGCTGGCACTATCCGTACGCCCTCCCGCAGTATGCAGCATGTCCGGCGTCCCGTGGCCTTTTTTTCCTGTGGACTTCTCGGACTTTCCAAGCGTTCGCCCTGCTCGTGTTGGCTCGCTCTCCGGGCCTGCCAGAGACAAAAATGAAGCCCGACGCCAGCGCCATTCGCACAGCGAGCGATTCGACGGAGCACGGGGGGATCCCAGGGCGGCGATCCAGCCGCTAGATCGCCTTAACACGCCTGTATGTACTGTAGGCGTTACAGCTCCCCGGAATAAGGCCAGCAGCCAGCGGGCGAGTCAGGCAGTACATCGTGCCCGGGCACATGCGAGCATCCCAGGTATCGCATCCAGCGCGGTACCTCCAGCACCGTATGGCGGACTGGAGCCCCTGGTTTGTCTTTGTCTTTGTCTTTGTCCTTGTCTCTCGACCTGCCTGAAGCACCGGCCGGAGTGGCAGCAGGCTGGAGATGCAATCCATTGATCCCACCTAAGGTACGCTGCGGTACAGGTACAGTGCAGGTACTCCTGCGTCCTGCCACCTGCCACCTGCCACTACGAGGACCACCGCCAGCCACGGGCAGGGATGTCATCGGCACCACCACGTTCCTGCCGGTACCACTTGATACAGTCCAGCTTACAGTCCGATCCGTCAGAGGCTGAATGAAGCCAGCCCTTTGTTCATTGTTTCCACCCCGCAGAATAACACAGTACTACCTAGGTATGCCTCCAAAGGTAAGGTATTGTATTGAGGCCTTTGAGGGTTTGCAAACGAGCGAAAACTCTTCCCAGACTGTGCGACTCTGTACCAGCGCCTCCTGATCGACTGCCTACGGAATCGGCAACGACAGCGCCAACCGCCTCGAGGCGCTCCGCATAGCCTAATATTCCTACCTAGGTAATTAAAAGAAGAAGAAAAAACGCCCAGGCGGAGGAGGCAGTGTCTGCACCGGACTTCTGAAGCACCGGCTTCGACGCGGGTAAAATCAAGGCTAGGGAGAAACAGGCCGTAAATACGATACGAGGTCCGTCATCGTCATCGAGGGCGTTCGTTGGCGGTTGTGCTGCTGTGCTGTGCTTACAAAAGGCGCCGCCCATGTGTCAGCCTTTGGACGATGTATGTCAGCCCCGTCGATTGGTCGTGAGTTCTGATTGCATGTATTCCTGATCCAACTCCTCATCCCTAGAGCTCGGGCTGGGTTTTCACCCGCCTGTCAGTGCCGGAGAGGCGTACAGCAGAGTTCGCGGCAGAGGCTGGCGCTGCTGGCTCTGACACAGCCGCGCATCACGAACCAGCCACGCCTACGAGTACAGCTGCCAAGAAACGCCCGACACTCCGTGCCACCGGTACGCATATGAATTGGCTGCCTGCACAGGTGAAGTTGCAGCATCGTCGCGAATAGGGGCGCACGTCCTTTGCTGAGACAGTGGATTCCTCCCAGGGGACGGCGTGTGGGGGTGGTGCGCTGTGGTTCACATTGAAATTACATGCTTGGCCGCTGTCGCTCCCCCATGTCCATGGATCACGAAGCTCCAGCTGCTAGTATCTACAAGCTACCAACTACGACCACTACCTACTTGTACAAGTACTACGGACCACGGAGGATTACAGGGACAAGGAGCGGCGACGGCTGATGTGCCGCGTTCATTGGCCACCCTTCCTTGGACCGCTGCTCCGTCGCGTGCATTCTTGCCCTTCTGCGGCAGCTGACGAGAGGCCGTGCTCGACAATGGGCGTCTCTGCTGGGTTCAAAGTTGGGCAATGCGATGCAATGCAGTGCAATGCAATGCTGCAGATTCAAACAAGCACAGTACCATACTGTACATGTTTGCAAGGTAAGGTCCAGGCACGTGGACTCGCGCTTGTCATGTTTGATGTTTGACGATCCAAATGTCCAGACTCGAGCCTCGCAAGCTAATGCGCCGTCGATGCTACATGTACCGAGAGTCCCAAGTACGAGTACAGACAGCCAATGCTGACCTGCTTCTCCGCCAAGCGCCCATCACTTTGCTCCATCGAGGGGAAATTGTCCAGGCACCGGTTCAGCCCTGCTGCTGCTCAACCGCCCATCAATATGGTGATCCTTCAGGGATGCGTGTTGGCCATGTTTGCCAGCGATGGGCTTCCGCGAAGTCGCGCTGCTCTCTCTCTAGAGAGTGTCTTGGACGAGGGCGCCATTACGAAGTAATACGAGGAACAATCACATCCATCTGTTGGCAAGTGGCCAATCTTGTGAAAGGGTCCCCTATTCGAGCAGCTATCGCCCTCCGTTGGGTGTTTCTCCCTCTCCTCCTTTACACTTCACCTGTTTCGAAAACTATCCTTACATCAGTGGAAAAAAAATAAGCTCGGCCAAGCCTTTCGCTCCGCTTCCCTCGCGGCCGTTCGTTTCTTTTCTTTTTGTTTTCCCTTTCTATTGAATCAAGCCCGAGGACTTGTTGCTGCTGAACCTGGTCAGTCCGCTTCGTGCCGGGCTGATTCGTACGAAAGGGAAATTTGGCGATGGCGCCAAGAGGGTCCTTTCAGGGGTGGTTTCACGGAAAGGGATTGCCATGGACCAGGGATCCGGCCAATGCAAGTCACTTCTTTGCTTTACGTACGTGCTTGTGCGTCTTGCGGGATATGGTCCAAACAGTCGACAAATTTAAGGCCCATGGCACCAATGCTTGGCTTCGGAGCCAAGACTTGCCCTGACTACTACTACTGCGGCCTTTCTCCGTACTAACAGACAGCAACGACAAGCGCTTGCGGCCAACGCTGAAGATGTCAATTCCGGAGGTGAAATTGCCTACATAGGTATGTATTGGTAATGCGTGTCTATGACTAATGTTTTCACAGTCGAGGCAGAATACAGTATGCTGCTGCTCCTGATTCGTACAGTTGCGTACGGACACGGCTGCAGACATGTCATCTCGCACACGTTCATCATGGCACTTTGGTTGATCAACCATCCGGCCCTCCACGATGCACAAGGAATCGCGCGCATGGGCATCACGAGCCCTGTCGGCAACGGACTTGGTCAACTTTCCATTCCCGTCTTGCTCTCCTCTACCTACTAGTATGACTACCTACAGGTAATACTAGCCGACCCTTCGCGTTCCTCAAGGCGGCCGGCTGCCGGAAAGCCATCCTATCCTGACCTTCCACAGCCCTTCTCCGCCAGAGCGCGGTAGCCGAAATAAGGCTCGGCCCAAACCCCAGGGATGGCACGAGGTTCTGGACGCAGATCTAGCCGCTGCCACTGTCCTTTTCTTCCTTTTCCCTCTTGGCTGCAAAAGGGGGACCGCGTGCCCGTTTCTAGTACCTTGTTCTGCTCGAACTTGTGCTTGCTATTTTTGGACACTATCGGCCATCGGGCTCGCTGCCGAGCCTAATAAACGAGCAAAAGCTTGTTGAAGCGACCTGCGACTGTACATATTATCTTTACTCCCGGCTCACCTACCTTACCTACCTAAGCACGCTCGGTCCATGGTAGGTAAGTAGGTAGCCTGGAAGCAAGGCCGCTTGGCGTTGCGGCGCAGACGACGTTTCGAAATGAGCCTCCACCGGGATGCCAGATCTCGCAGTGTTCCAGACAGTCCGCACTCCGTAGCCCGGCCCAAGTCCGGAGTCTCTGTATCTATTACTTGCACTCTGTTCGCACCATGCTGTAATACGCTGGATCCAATCTCTAAGGTACCTGGGTAACTTTATGTTGATGCCTGAGAGACGGATGATACTGCATGTAGTATGTACGACCAGATACCAAGTGGTGTCGACCAACCTTGCCAACGAGCTTGGCTGAGGCTGGATGCCTTCCCCAAAGCTACAAGACATGCAGCCTCTGCAGCTTTAGGTGTCTCATGTGTTAGAGACAAAGGGACAGAGACATTCCTCTTTTTTCTCTCTTAGCGCAATGGGAAAGCTTCCCCCCTCTTCTTCTTGTGCGACATATGTAGCATGGTGCTAGTACTACACGGACGCGGGCGTGACATCGCGCGCCGTCATTTCTAACGACATCAGATATTCCATCCCACCCGTGCGGCAGTATCAGACAAGAGCATGTGCTGTGGGGAGGCACAGCCCTACAAGTTACGTCTCAGGTTGAGGCATGGCTAAGATCCTCCCCGGGAATGAAGAAAGGAGGGGGGGAAGGGAAAGAGAAAGATGGCATTTAAGAAGTCGCTTGTCTAAAAGAGGGACATTGTAACGGCGAGGTGTTTAGGTCGTCCTGAAGAGGTTTGACGTGACGTATTGAAGCTGAAACTCGTGAATGGGCGGAAGTGGGAGGTGCCGTGTGCTACCCGGTATTAAGAGGTTCGTTTCTCAGAGATCAAGAGAAGAATGGTGTTCAAGTACGGCGGTTTTTTGATTGAGGGCTTTCTGGTTGTTTAAATGGCGTTGGACTACGGTAACAGAGGTTGATGTGGTTTGGAAGTATGGGCATTGAAGCTCATGTTGTTCGTAGGATGCTTCCTTAATGCTGAGATGGCTTGATGAAGATGGTCGTTAGGTGACTTTACTTCGAACGTGGAACTGTAACAACCGAGCATGACAGAAACGGGAGACAAGATTACATAGAAACAATGGAATATTAAATGCGCTCAGTATTCTAATCTTGAAATATAAATGTAACAACATATGTCTTTCGTGACACTCCTTAGCAAACATGTTCGTGATGCATCTCCATACATGTACCTCTAATGAGGCTCTGGCGCCCACCAAAAGTGACTACTACTACCTGTAGACCTGCACTGATCTGCCACCGCCTGCGCCACATCTGCCAATCAGGCAATACTGCAAACCCCAGATGCTGCGCCATGCACCATCCACACGCGCCGCCTCATCTCCAGACATCACATTCAATGCATCTAATCACATCTCTCACGGCATCTCACCCAGCGATTCATCAGCCTCATCTCAACATCACCACAAATCAAAAGCTACAAAGAGGAGAAGTCGAGTCACGAAGGGCGCGGCATCTGCCATGTCTGGAAGCCAGAACCCAACTCCAAAGCCCAACAGGAACATCCTATCGTACTTCCAGCCGGCCTCCTCCTCTCAGCAGACGCCCTCCCCACAGCGCTCATCACGGCTCTCCTCGTTTCCAGATCTTTCGCCGCCTGCACCGTCCTCACCGCTCAGCTACAAGGCCACTCCCATCCGGAAAAAGCCTCCTCCGCCTCAGGAAATTGGTGACTCTGACGACGAGGGCAGCGCTGATGGCTTCTCGGACGACTCCCTAGAGGACCTGTCGGCTCTCCTTGGGCGAGGACGGCCCAGTGCTGCCGCACCGTCGGGAAGCCAACCGGCATTCTCGACTCCCAGGGCCAAGAGGACGGCAACGGGGCCGTATGTGTCGCCGCTGACCATCATACCCAAGCACAGGTTTGACATCAAGGCGCTCGCTAAGGACGCCCGCCGTGATAACGCCATAAGCGCAAGCTCGTTGAAGGCAAAGGCCTCCACAGACGCCTCAGAACCCGCATCTCCTCGCCGAGGAGAAAACTTCGACTCTGCCTTTACTGACATTGTCAGAGAGAAGAGCGGGCAAGATGCGCACAAAGTCCTTAGAGCGGTCCAGAGAGCAGAACCTATCCAGTCGCAGTCCCGGTACTGCTTCTTCAACAGCGACTACAGGGTTCCGCCCAGCTCGCCTGTACCCAAATTGCCCAAGGGATCCCCGTGGAATCTGTTGACGCAGGGAAACTCTGCAGCAAGGGAACGGAACCTCACCTCTGGGATGCCGCAAACTATCCTGGCGAAGAATGGCGGGCTGCCAGATGCCGTGTTCGAGTGGATGCTGGATGAGCTCTGCATTCATAAGTCCTCGCTTGTTCGGCGGGAATACTGCAACATGATTCACAGCTGTCCCGATCAGGTCGAACGGCTTTTGACTCCGGAGCGGCTGGAGGAGCTTTTCCTCAGGTTGGGGGCTACCGACGATATCAAGGTTCGGGATGCTGAAATTGCCGTTTCGAAGCCAAATCAGGAGCCATATCAGGACCACGACTGGTCGAATTTGGAGTCTTTGTTTGTGCTCTTGGGGATGATTTCAGACCATTTATCGATTCCGTCTGCCGTCTACGCAGCGCACACTCTGCTTCGGCTGTCCATGGACAAGGTGTTGATATACAACACTGATTTACTGACGGCGTACGAAGAGGCGATTGCAAGCCTGGCCAATACAATCCCTAGTTCGTCCTGGGACTCTTTTGTGAGTACAACGCCTAGCGTACCGTATTGCCTCGGAATGCTAAACATGTCTTCAGTGCGGTGACGCATGCTCAATCCTGCACACAACTGTCAAGACGCAACACATCAGGGCCAATGCCTTGCAGTGTCTATCCATCCGCAACGTCAGAACCCACGACATCAGGAGAAGACTCGCCATCTCGTTCCTGTTCGACGACCCATCTCTCGGCCGCCACCACCCCGAAGCAGTCTTCACCGTCAAGCGCGCCATCGACCGCCTCAACGACGACGACTTTAGCATCACGTCACAAACCGACTTTGCCGAGCTCAAAGCCATGATCATGGCCCTCGACATCGCCGTCGACGACGGCTCCCCGCCGGAATCGGGCAGCCCAGAGGACGAAGACGGCTTCAACCAGGACGTTGACCAGCTCGCCGCCAAGCTCAGGGAGATTTGGCGCAAGATCAACGACGCGGGCATGAAGATTACGCGCACCGAGGCCAAGAGCGTCGTCGAGTGGGTGCAGCAGCGGCTGTCCAACACGGTCAGGACGCGCAAGAAGGCCAAGAAGAGCATCTTTGATCTGCCCGGCCACGAGGACCGCTCCTCGAACCTGCCCAAGCAGCAGGAGTACATGGCCAAGTTTCTCCAAAAGATACCCAAGCCACAAGCGGGAGGCGAATAACTCTTTCCTTCTCCCAGGTGCATAGGTAGTTTTGTCTGTGTGGAAATTGATACCAATGTTCTGGACGCGGCGTTTGGGAGTGTACCTACCTTACCTATATAGAGGAGTACGGTCAAGCGTACGAGCTGGCTTCGCTGGATGCCGACTTTAGAAAAATTTCTTGTAATGACGTATGATACAACATCTAAGCTAAGAAAAAGGGGAAAAGAAAAAGCTCAATTAATTCGACGAAATGCATGCCTCGATTGTCATCTTCCTTTCTCACAATGTGACGCTCCTCTACTCTTGCAACGCAGCAATACCGTTCCCCATCCTCGTCCCTCTCTTTCCTCGTGTCAAGGTAATGAGATACAGCTGCCAAGTGATTATAGGGGGGGTGGAGTGTGAGTTTAGTCGTAGTATTTGCGGTTGGGGTTCTTTCCGAACAGGTCTTCTCGCACGGCCGGCGCCGCGGAGTACTCGAGCAGTTGCAGCCGGGCCTCGAGGGTGTTGTCAATGTCAATCTTTCCCTTTCCACCGATGATGACGATGCCGCCGGCGCTGTGGTACGCAAAGCGTTAGTCAACCAAACAAACAGTGGCCCACGGGAACCGATGCCTGGTGCAAACCTACATTGAATCGTCCAGGGGATTGGCCTCGTCAATCGTCGCAGAAACGTCCTTTCCAACCTTATCCTTGTACTCCTTTGCGGCTCCCTCAATAGCCTTCTTGACGGCGTCGTAGTCGGCCTTTTTGGCGCGGACCTGCAGCTCGGGCTCGTTCATAGCGTAAAAGCCCTCGAGCACGAGCCCGTTGAGCGTCTTCTGGTATCGGGCGCCGTCCTTGACGACGGCGGCGAGCTGCCGCCGGGCCTCGTCGAAGATGCCGTCGAGCAGCTCCTGCCGGGCGCCGAGCACCTTGAGCCGTGTCTTGTTGGCGACGGTCGACCGGGTGATTTGCTGCGACATGGTGGCCTGCTTGAACTTCTTCTCGTACTGCGTGTCGATGGCGTCCGTCTCCTGGCGGACGAGCTTGGACTTTTCGATTTCAAACTCCTCGTTGGCCTTGATTTCGATCTCGCGGGCCTTTTCCATGGCTTCCTGCTTGATGAAGGCGGTCATCTTGCGGAGCTCATTGTCCACCTGTTCGGTTCGGGACTGGGGTTAACATTTTTTTTGCTCATATTGTTCCATTCTTCGTGACATAGCTATCGTTGGCGTTGAGGGGGGGAGAACTCGCCTGGGCATCGGATAAGGCGTGTTGCGACATCTTGGGCAGGCGGGGGGGATGGAATATCGGGAGAACGGGGGATGGTTGAGTAATTGGGAGGGATTCGGTTGAGGCCTGAGAGAGATTGAAACGGCCTGTGTCTGGAGCGGCTGTCGAGGAGATGATGAGGCGAGCGGGTGCGCTGAGGCTCTTGGGAGTTGAGGTTGAGGGACGAGAAGCGTTGCGTGTGTAATATCTCGGAGCTGTCGACGTTGGAGCAGCACTGAGTTGCGCTACTACCTTGGCAGCTGGAGAGCGCTATTGGTGCTTGTTGCCTCGCACCTACTTCTGGGGCCGCGATTGCGCACCGCCACAGTTTCGTCGAGTGCAAGGCATGACCTGACCTATGTACAGCTACCTTTACGTTCATCCACGGTGTATTATCGCTGGCCTTGCAGAATATTCATTCTCCTACATGACTTAATCATATTGAAAGTTCTATGCCATGATGCAGATATTGAGCGCATTCGAACTGCTCTGAATCACCGGGCTTCATCTCTTGACCATCCCATGGTTGCTGATGTCGGAACCGATGACGCATATCACCTGACCTCATGTGACGCCCACACCAGCCACAGCTCCCTTGTCGCCAGCAGTCGCCCAAGCCAGTGAGTCGCGGCGGCAGTTGAGTGGCAGCAATACTAAGATACCTACTGTACGGTACGGAGCACCCAGCAATAATACCTACCTAATAATACCAGCAATATGCACCTCTGATGCACCTCTGGCGCGCGATGCTCCATTCGCATACCGCTTGACGTCGTCAGGTGGCTCTGCATGTTTTTATTGAGCGCCAACGCATTTCTCTCTCTCTGCACGGCACGCTGCATCCTCAGGCCCCGGCTGATTACCCTCGCCATCCACGCGAATTACCAGCGCCGTCTGCGGCCATAGCCGTGATTTGGGGGGCCGGCACCTTCAACCGACTCGACAACGCTCCCTCACCTCAGCAAGCCATACCCAGCTCTCTCAAGATCCTCACAGAGAGCGTTCGACCCGGAGCCCGACAGTACGGCTGCACCCTCACTGGCGGAAGCGGCGGCGGCGGCACGAAGTCGAGACCAGACCACCTACGACACGCTCGCTCTCTCGCTGACGATCGCGGCCAGGGAGGGACACCAGGGTGAAACAACCCGCGGCCGTCGACACAGCCTTATTCCCGCGTCTTTTGTAACCTACAACGCTGCCCAACGCTTAGAACCCATCTTCCATGCGACGACCAAGTGCGCTCTTGTTCACGTCTACCGGTGGATGACCACAGGGCCTGGAGACGGTGTAATGCCGCCGATTGGGAACATCTCCCCGGGAGGGAGCATAGCTGTATGCGCACGCCATGATCACGGTTCCCAAGAAGGAGAATGGAGAGATGCTGTGCAGCAAAGATCCGGGCTGGTGCGCCTGCTAACATCTGGCAGCTAGGAATCCTCGTTGGCCTCATCTCGACCAGTGTCCAAAGCCTCGGCCTCACTCTGCAGCGGAAATCGCACATACTCGAAGACGAAAAGGGGCCACACGATGTCCGCCGGCCGCCGTATCGCAGAAGGAGATGGCAGGTGGGCATGGCCATGTTTGTCATTGCCAATATCCTAGGCAGCACCGTGCAGATTTCGACGCTACCTCTGCCCGTCCTCTCGACCCTCCAGGCTGCCGGCCTGGTGTTCAACTCGATATGCGCGACGCTCATCCTCAGCGAGCCCTTTACCCGATGGTCACTCTGCGGCACGCTCCTCGTCAGCAGCGGCGCCGTCTTGATCGCCTTCTTTGGCGCCATTCCCTCTCCGGCCCACGAGCTGGATGAGCTGCTGGAGCTGCTGGCGCGAAAGCCCTTCATCGTCTGGATGATTATACAGGCTCTGTTTGTCGTGACGTTGGCAGTCGTCACCGATGTCACCAGCAGCGTCTCCAGCCTGTCGCACAATGCCAGGTTTCGCCTCATCCGTGGCATCAGCTACGGTGTCATCAGCGGAGACCTCTCTGCGCACTCGCTGCTGTTTGCCAAGTCCGCCGTCGAGCTCCTCATCAAGACGATTGGCGGCAAGAACCAGTTCCTTCGCTGGCAATCCTGGGCCATTGTCCTGGCCCTCGTCTCTCTGGCCCTCTGCCAGCTGTACTACCTCCACCGCGGCTTGAAACTTGTTTCCACGTCTGTCCTATACCCGCTTGTTTTCTGCGTATACAACATCATCGCCATCCTGGATGGTTTAATCTACTTCAACCAGATGGGCCTCATTTCAGCGCTCGACGCCTGTCTCATAACCCTGGGGACCGTCATCCTTCTCTCGGGGGTCCTCGCACTCTCTTGGCGGCTGAGCGACGAGCAGCACGCGCCGGCACTTGGTCAGTCCTCGCTGGCTCCTGGCCTTGGGCTCGTTGACGATACTGAAGGCGAAGAAGAGTCACTAATGGGGCCAGAAGCTACGCTTGAGGTCGACGAAGAGCTGCCCTCCACGACGTACCAGACATTCCCCGTGATGCACGGCGAAACCGCCCCGCTGACCCCGACGAGGAAAAAGAGTCTGAGCTGGGTGGAGCGCGACGAAATCTGGGGTGAACTGCAAGACCAGGATGAGCCTACCACACCGGCTGGGCGGCTACGATCGACTACTTTCCCGGCGAGAACCGAGTCGACGCCTTTGCTGCCGCATGTGAGGAGGGCGATGAGCGGCGTCAGCGTCACAGACCAGCCGGGCCCGAGCGCGGATGCCTCGCCTCGAAGATTTGCCCGACGGCGGAGGAAGAGCACTGGCTTTCCGGGATTGGTGGCGCGCCGAAACCTGCGCAGGGACTCTGCATTTTCAGAAACGCTTGGCGGTTTCTTCTCGATGAACTGGCTGAGGCGCAATAACAGCCGCGCCTCGGTGAGCGGCGGCGTGTTGCACGAAGGCAACCCATCGCAACAAGGCTACAGAGACGAGCCAGAAGAGGGTTTCAATGGCAGGGCCAACGACTCTTAGTGTATGAGCTCGAATCGCTAGGGGGGGGAAGCCATAAGAAATGCTTTCATCAAGCCATCCATTGTTTGATCTCGAAACCTTGAAACAGAGCATGTTTACCTAGACTATTTAATCACAAGGTGTTTTTACTGGGGGGTTCAAGCAGGGCGAGCATATATGGAAGCTCCTGAGCTGAACTTTTTACCTTTCCTTTCCTTTTCCCCCCCTTTTCCTTTTCCTTGGAGATTGAAGGCACAGAGGCCGGGCTTGTTTTTTTTTTTTTTTTTTTTCCTTCTCTCCTCCTCATTTCCCTTCCGGTTATTGCATTATACCACAATGGCAATCTATTGTACCACGACGGGGTTTGCACTGCACTAGATGCTCGCAAGCGGACCTGTAGGACACATCTTTGGAGTTATTTCTATACTGCGTTTATTCCACCGTTTCTTCCTTTCTTTCTTTCAGTGAGTCTGAGTACTCACACAGCATGTATTTCTACCACCATTGAGGGATTGAAAGAGCAAGTCCTTGAACTCGTATTTGCATTTAAAGTTGTCGTCCGTTGTATCACGATTGCAATTGAAAGGGAGAGAATGTGCTTCTAAAGATGTATTAATGGTGTTATTCTCCAGACAAAGCAGAGTTGTGTGTGTGTGTGTGACGCTATGTGACTATCAAGACATTCAAAACATGGTATTTCACAGCCTTCTCTCGTAGACATATATACATATTGATATACATATATCGAAAGAAAAGGGGGAAGGTCGCCTTTCGCCACTTTCTCCAAACAGTGTGCTTCAAGGCATCTTTCCAAAACCAAATTCGCTTCTTTTTTTGTTGTTGTTCACTTTCTCATTGCACTCATGCCTAAGACAGATTCCTCGGACTTGTATTATCCTCACAGACGGCCGTAGTCTCGCTTCTGATCGATGATGTAGTAGCGCTCCATCTCCTTGCGCTCCTTGACGAGACAGGCAATGGCCAGGATGAGCAGGGCATCGATGCCTTTTTTTAACAATGTCAGTTGATTCATCACGCATCATATTGTGAGAAGATGCAGATCAAGGATGTGATTTGAAGGGGGTCGCAAAAAAAAAAAAAAAAAAAACGTACCAACCATGCCAAAGACGGCTGTGAAGAGGTCGTTGATGAAGGCGTTTGCGAAGCTGGCCACGTTGGTGGAGCAGCCGCGGAGGAGGGCGGCGGCGGCTGGGCTGGGACATGTTTCGTCTGTGATGAAGGCGGGGGATGTGCTGTTTAGGTAGCCGCAGCATTGGAACTGTGAATGTATCTCGTCAGTTGTGAAAGTTCACATAGCTAGCTGTAGCTGATGCCGTCCTGGAAGTCCATATCCCTAAGATATACATAAGATATAAAAGGGGTGGAGGGAGACGCACCGAAGTCTGCATCATGGACTGAACAGTCGTATCCTGCGCCGCATAAAACGGCTCAAACGTCTCCTTGAGGCGCAACGTCATGATCCAGAGGTACAGCCCGACGGCAAGCGTAAAGACGGCGCAGAGGGTGATGAAGTAGCCGCTGATCTTGAGCAGGCTGCGCTTGGCGAGGGCGAGGGCGGGGATGGTGAAGAGAAAGGTGGCGAGGACGAGGATGGCGTTTGCGATGCCGGCGGTGAGCGGGAAGTGCTGGTAGATGATGTGGCGGGTGGCATCGTGGCCGTCGGTGGGCGCCTTGTCCTTGAGGTTGAGGGCGGCGATGGAGAAGCCGAGCTCCATTGCGCCTGAGGCGAGGAAGAGGGCGTCGGCCACGAGGGTGGCGACGAAGACCTTGTCGGGCATGGTTGTTGTTGGAGGAGGAAAGAGTGAATGAATGGGCGAGCGAGGTGAAGCTTTGTTTGGAGTTGTGTGGTGGACTTGAGATTTGTCGAGGGTCGGTTGTTCGGTTCGGAGGTGGTGATGGTTCGTGATGGTGTTGACGACCGGCGTCTGTATGGAACTCTCCTCCTCTTGTTTCTTTTTGGCTGAGTGACTGAAAACCCAACCAAGACCCAAGCTCGGCGAAACGAATGCACAGAAGAATGAAACACAGAAGAATTAAAGAGAGGCTATCTCCAAGTCGAAAATGCCCTGCAAATCCACACAACCAGCGAATGTCTGTAAATAATGAACCCCTTGTAAGTAAGAAAAAAAAAAGACAATCAAGAAAAGAAGTACTAATGGCTTCAAAGAGTCACGTTAGCATGCACCAGGCATGGAGAAGGAAAAAAAAGGGCAAAAGAAGAAGAAGAAGGAGTTAGAAAGCAAAAAGAGAAGCCAAAATGAAGAAGAGAGAAAGGAAATGAAAAGAGAGAAAAAACTCGCGACTTTGCCAAGCGCCTTTGACTTCTCCCAATTGTCGTCCGGTTTTGCCTCGTAACAGGCGGCGTTTCAGGAAGCCAAAGGTGAGGCACGCGCAAGGGGGCGGGCAGATGCGGACGGCCAATCAGAGGGCCGGATCGGGGCCCTGGGTCGCCTGATTGGGGAGGTTTGGGAGATGGATTGGAAACAGAGGCGAGGCGCTGTTTCCCTCTCTTTTGGCTGGTGCGCGCCAGGATGGGCTGATGTGGTCGTCATTGCCCTGGCTTGGCTCTATCTGATAAGAGAGTCTGAGTTATTCAAGATGGCATCTCCATTAGTAGTATTCGATACTCTACATTCTATGTCTCTATGCACAGATTATCTCTCTTTGTCTTTCCATGCTGTCGTGACTGTTGGTAAATAAACTCTTGGTGAGGTCCGTAGAGGACGCATGAATCCAATCTCGAGGCTATTATTCCGCTTCCAGCATCGCTCCCGTCCTGACTAATCCGAGCTCCAATACATACTACTTTTACTAGCCGACGTCTCTCCTCCCCTCCACAGTTGGAAACGACAGAATGCTCCAGAAAACTGGCTCCTCACATCTCAGGCAGCACTTCTTCTCGCCTGAACCACCAGGCACAACAAACCAACCAGACCTGTGAGAATTTGGCAAATCTTCAGCAAGCACTCGTCCCCCGCTTAACTTCATATCCGCGACACGCACATCCTCTCAGCCCGCCGGCTGCTAGTACTCGCCTGTTATGCACAAAACGCGGACAGAGGGCCCCATCATCTGCGTGCTGATCACGCTCGTGGGTAATCAACCAGACGAGGGACCGCACTGTACGGGATCCCGAGTGAACGGGGGGGCGGCACAGCCCGAGAAGTGCAAACGGCCAAGTCAGCCGGCAATTGATGAACACTGCACAAGTCGTGTTGGATCGAAACTTCGAGTGTCAGTCAGTCAGTCAGTCGCTCATCAATCTGTCATGCTGATAGACGCGCGGTCCTTACTCTTCCTCGCCTCGTCCGCTTTCAGTCAAGTCCATGAAGGCTCAACCACTGACAACCGCAGACGCAGGCTGCGCGAGAGCTGGCGACTTCGAGCAACACAACACAACCCATCATCTCTCGCCCATCTTCGTCGCGGTGGAGCACGAACGGCCCTCGCTGAATCCTTCGCCGCACTGTGGCCTAGGCCATCTTTGCTCTGCTTGCTTGCTCTAGCTGCCTAAAGGAGCAATGGCCCCCCCATTTCTGCCGCTGTCCGCTTCGAAGCTGCTGCTCTGACAGCCGGCCGTGGATGCTATTCGTGCAGGTGACGGCGATGAAACGGGCAAACGCCTTCTGGCGAGGATGGATTACGTGTATCCGTTCTGGCGTCCGTGTCTGTGGGCGAGCCTATGCCTGTTCCTGTAACCCGTTTTCCTGTTCCTGTCTCTGTTCCTGCTCCCCCATACCGCCGCTCCGTCCTGGCGCTCGCGAATCGAGGGTACAGCGCTCAGACTGGTCTAGGGGGCCAGCCATCATCCGCATCCGGCTCCGCATCCTTCAGCAGGGCCGTGCCAATTCTGCTCCAGCGCTGGTCCTGGTAAATTACTAAGGCGACTCGACAGCAACCGCCTGTGGGCCGCTGCAGCTTGGCCCGTGTCCCCCGTGTCAGCTTGGGACACCTTGCTCGCGCTCCTGTGTGCTGCCATGGTAATATTGGTGGTACCAAGTGATACCTCTCCTTCGCCTGTGTGTCGAGTAGCATCTCATACTGCTCGGAGGCGGGAGACACACGCAACTCGCGTAGCCTCGAGGTACCCGACATGCTCTCCCCCTCCCCCCAAGAAGACGCAGACGAGGGTCCAGGGTCTCGCGTCAGCCCTCACGCGTCGCTTCTGCGTCCAAGAGGTGAAACCCATGGGGCCCCATGACTGGCACGAAAGCCTTGTACCTGTACGGATACCCAGCGCGAACGACCGGCTCTCTGGCGTCTGGAATGGACCCGTCGTTGCTTGCAGAGAGATTCAGCGGCGTCGTGTTTCTCTCCCACAGCCGGGCCCCTCCTAGCAATTTCGCGGACAGCTTGACCATCGGTAGTGTGATATGTAGTATGGGCCAGAAGGCTAGACAAAAGTTCGCTAGAGCAAGCAGCGGTGCCGAGGCTGCTGGTTGCAGAGTCATAATGTCATTCATGCAGCAACGCAGGGGCTTCTGCAGCGTGTCTCTTCAACTCCATGCGGCTGTGCTGTTGGTCGCAGGCGATTTGCTCCGGCAGACAGAAGCGTCAAATTGCCATTGAGCGCGGAGCAAGGGGGGAATAAGCGGCGAGCTGCCGCTGGTCTCACCCGGTCTGGAATCCAACAACGGTGCACCAAAGCATCATCGACTTTCTCGTGCAAATCGCCAGGTATTACATATGCATTATCCTCTTGCTCCAGACATAGCAGAGCGCCTGCAGTTTTGCACGCAGCAACAGCTAGGGTGGCCATCCATGGATCATACCTGTACACGGCCGTCTGGTGCGACTCCGCCGCCTGCTTACAGGAACTAATGCTCTGATGGCCTCGCACCAGCGAGGGATTCCGGCTTCCCCTGCTGCAGGAGGGTGGTCGGCAGATGCAGCAAGACACATCGGAGTGGAGGCCGCTGTCTGGTCCGACGCGCTGATGACCAAAGATTAGTATCTCGGGGGGAGAGTGGGAGCAGGGTACGAAGCAGCAAACATGGAGGATTACGGTCGAAGCGAGTCCAGCCTCTGGCGCCCCTGAAGACGTGCCTTTTGGCGTGAGCTGAAGTGGAAGCAGGCGGGCCAACGGCATCTTGATCCAACCATCCACACCCATGGTCAAGTGACGGGGAGTCATTGGAAGCAGAGGAACGAGACGGAACTGGGAAAATTGGGAAAAACGATGGAAGAATCGAAAGAACATTGGTTGAGCCCGAATGCGCGTAGGTGCCACCAAAAGTGCTACGGAACTTGTACGGAGTGATTGCTGCGAGATGCTTCGTGCGAGCCTTGGGAGCCGAAGAGAGAAGCGCACTCTGTGATACGAGGAGGCGGATAAGTCAATTTCCCAATCGTCTTGCTCCAGCTCCCCTGTGTTTGATCTGTCAGAGCTAGCCGTTACGGAGAGGCGGCGCGAGCGTCCCGTAGATCTCATCACCTTACCTGACCTTGCCTTGCCTTACCTTGTGCCCTAACCTTACATAGTTGAGCGCGTCCCCATACAGTTGACAGGTTGTGGGAGAATATCTGTGGCGATGTCAGGGAGACAAGGACGAGTTTGACAGACATGCGAGAGGAACAGCAAGTCGTCTTCCGCAAAGGCGTTTCGATCTCGCTTGCAATTCGTGTTCGCCTACACGTACAGTACTTGGACGAAGTTGACAGCGACCACCAGGCTTCAAGTTCGGCACCCATTAGTAATGGAGACGCCTTTGAAGCTTCACGGCTATGGAGCACTTGTTCATGTCCTTAATCGGCCCATGAGAGCCACGGGTCCACTCCCTTTTGTCAAGCCTCGAGAACAAGATTGCTGGGAAGGCTGGGAAGCAACCAGTATGGCACAGTGTCTATGGATGAAATATTAATACTGTGTGGGCTCTGAGTGCTTACTCTGCTTCGGCTGTCCAATCGGGCCTAGCTGCTCCGCTTTTCCTGTTGCCCGGTGCCAAAATTCCAAGCCCCGAGGCTTGTCGCACGGCGGCCACTCACATGCACCGCTGCGCTCGCATTGCTAGAGCTACCCAGTACCTATGTATTCGATGAAGTCTCTCAATGGCCGCGCCCATGCCACCCCCGTCATTCTGGCAGCTGCTCGTCGGGCGATAAGCGCACGCGATGGGCTGTGCCAATCGTAGCAGCAACAAGCCGTCAAGTATCGCGGTAGGCTTGCTTCTGCGGAAAGTACTGGCGCAGCACAATCAGTAAGTCTCACCAAGCCTGTGCCAATCTCACCACCCCCCCTTCTTCTGTCCTTCTCGGTCTGCAAGCGCCCCGACAGAGCACTAGCGGCACTCAAAACCTCTCGTCTACCTCGACTAACGGCACCACCACCCGCTGGCTGAAAAGTACCTCACAAGTCTCGACAGGCCGCCCGAAGCCTTGCTCCGCGCCTTCCCAGGTCCCCTCCACCTGTTTCGCACCCGCCGCACCGGCACCGTGCGCACCCGCCAGCACTGGCCGCTGCATCTTTTCTCCAGTCCCGCTCCCCAGCCCAGAAGCTCGATCCATCCCAACCAAGACCGGTTTCCCTTATTTTTGTTCCCCTTCCCGCCTGTCCCTCTTCTGCCCGTCCTTTAAAAAAAAAAAAGGAAAAACCGCCAGATCCAGTATAGATCCATCGGCACCACGCTCAAAACAGTATCTCCACCACTCGTTGCCTTTTCCAGCGCCCTTGTGTGATACAAGTCGACGACGATTGGTATCGGATTCGGATTTGGCATCTGGCATTTTATTAAGAGAAAAGTTGCTGTCGCAGTTGCAACCGCAAGCAGCTTTCCACAATGGCCGATATCACCGACCAGCACGACCAGACGTCGCCCACCGAGCTCGACGACGCGCATGCCGTGGGCAACGGCACCGCCAACGAGGGTCGCGGCGTCAAGCGACCGCGCGCCGCTGCCGAGGACGACGATGACGATGACGAGAAGGGCGGCCGCGAGCGGCGAAAGATTGAGATCAAGTTTATTAGCGACAAGTCTCGTCGCCACATCACCTTCTCCAAGCGCAAGGCGGGCATCATGAAGAAGGTGCGTGTTTTCTGCTTTTGCTCTGATTCGCTTTGCTTTGCGTCCCGCCAGCCCTCGACGGAGTTACGCGCGAGAGAGAGAGGGAGAGCTGCAGTTCTCCTGCTCCTCTCCTCGCGCCTCTCAGACACCATGCGGGGAGTCAAGAGCAAGCTTTCTTCTGCTGCTTGAGTTCAGATCCCCACCAGTTGCGTGAGCTCTGTCGGAGGGCGCGCGCGCCGCGTGTGCCGTCATGGGGACGAGACGTCTGAGCAAATCCTCGATTGCCCGCATTATCCGAGCCGGAAGTCTAGCTAACAGGGGAACCCTCTCGACTTCTAGGCTTACGAATTGTCCGTCTTGACGGGCACTCAGGTTCTGCTGCTCGTCGTGTCTGAGACGGGCCTCGTCTATACATTTACCACCCCGAAACTGCAGCCGCTTGTAACGAAGGCGGAGGGCAAGAATCTCATCCAGGTAAGGAACTTCTCCAGCTGAAAACTACCCTCTGTCCTCTTCTCCCTGTGTGGGCGAAGGCTGGGGCGGGAGAATAGCCATTTCAGACGCTCCTGTTACCCGCCTGCACTCTTCCTCATCCCAAAATACTCGATGCTAATTTTTTTCCTGCTTAACAGGCGTGCCTTAACGCACCCGAGCCTGCGACCGGCAGCGAGAACGGGGTAGACGGCGGTGACCAAGTCGACTCTCCCGAGGAGCCCCCTAGCCATCTCCCACCCCAAGCCGGCCGTCCAGGCATCCCTCAGAACCCTCACATGGGGCCCGGAGGCTACATGCCCCCAAATATCCCAATGGATCCTCAGCAGGCCTTGGCCTACCAGAGTTATGTTCAGCGCAACCAGGGATACGGCTCTGGTATGCCTCCTCAGCCTGGCATGCCCCCCAGCTCCCACCATCAGTCATGAGTTGGGCCAATTGAAAAAAGACAAAACAGCAAACCATACAAAAAAAAAGCGACCATGGAAAGCAAGCCGAAGTGTGAAACCGTTAATAACCGGGCTTTCAACAATCTTTGGGAGCGTTGTTCTCGGGCTTTGCTCCGCTGCCACCACTGTACTGCAGGGGATCTGACGGTTTCAATCCGGCGTTGATGACGTGTTGATGTGTTTCTCCTCATTTACTCTTCTTTCTTGTTGTTTATTTTCCTTAATTTCTCTTACGCGTTGAATTGTTCTTCCTTGAATCTTCCCATGCTCTGATGTTCTGGAGCTGCAAGAGCCTGGCGTCTTCTGATTTCATCGGGACGAGGCCCTCTCCCACAGCGCAGGCAAGGCTGCCGAGCTTTGTTGCTGCACTGACGCGAGCAAGCGGTCTCGGAGAAGTCCAGAGGCGTTGTTTTACCTGCGGCAGCGAGCATTTGGAGCCCGGTGACTCCTGTTACGGGAAGATTCAAGGAGTGTATCGGTTACAAGCCAGAATGGATGTTGACGGCGGCCTTTTGTGCGGACATTTTTGAGCACTTGTACGCAAGGCGAGCGCTCCTACTATTCATGGTAGAGGCCCTCTAGCCTTTGGTTGGACGTGGGTTGAGCCCAGATGCTGTCTCCCATGCTGGGGCACGGTAAATCGGGAGATGGGTTGGTACTTTGGGCGGCAGGTTCTGGGCAGGTCTGGATTTCGGAAGCCGGAGGGAGGATTGGCACAGGTGAAGAGGACTGTCTCGGGAACTGCTGTCGCGGATGATAATGGGCACATGAGGGCTACGATTGTTGATGGCGGGACTTGGACCAGGACATCATGTACACCTGATGATTCTTGCTTGCCAATCAACCTCTTTTTTTGTTTTTTCTTCCACACGTATCTCGAAATCTTGGTGATTCTTGTCGTGACCTGCTTTCCTTTTTGGGGTGTAGGTAGACATGCTCGGGCCATGTCGATGCTTGGCTCTCGTCTTTTACTATGACCAGACGGGCATCGTGTGATCTTCAATGGGATCCCATTGAGGTTAGAACGGGCCGCCTCCCCGATCCGCCAACAATGGGACAAACAGAGTTTAGCAAGTGTCTCTGGGGATAGTAGGATTAACATAACCCAAAACCGTAGATCGCAAGCCCTGTACCCCAGATCCTGTTTCTAGAATAGGCAAAAGATGCTGCTCGCTTGGTCCTAGCTGAAGCGGGCCGCCCGCCCGCCGCCTTGCCGAGCCTTGTTTTTTTGGATTCTTATCGTCCTTTTGCCTCCTGAGAGGAATAGGAATGGTGTGGTTGCTTTGGATGGAGATGGAGAACGAGGCGAGGTGTGTGTGGTTTTTTTTTTCTGAGATGAGAAAGGAAGTATGTGAGTGTGATGGGTTGTTTATTTCCGATTTGATCGCTTTACCTTTTTTTTCCCGACCAAGGCTTCTTGTTTTGGATTGTTATTTTCACTGAGTTCTCTCTCTCTTTTTCTTTTTTTCGATGTGAGTTTTTTCTGTGGCTTTTTTCGTTGTTCGTTTTGTCTCCCTTCTTTTGTTGCGTGTGTGTCATGTTTTTTTGTGGCTAGACGGTTTTGGGGATGGGAGAGAAGAGAGGATTTCCCTTTTAGGGGGGGAGGGGGGAATCATTTGGCGTTTTTGTATGTTCACTCTTTGTTTCGTTTTTTTTTTTTACCTTTATTATTGGTTGCCTGTCTGTTTGGATGGGAAAGGGATTGTGAAAATGCAAGTATGGTGGTTTTGTGTTTAGGTGTGGCGTTGGCTTGTATTTTTACTAGATGAGATTGAGAGATTCACCTTTAAATTGTTTCATTCGTTGCTGAGGTATGGCTTTTGCTGGCCTGACTTTTGATTGGTGAAAGATGTAAGCAGGGTGTGTGATCGTTATGTTCTCAAATATGGAATTTGTATGAAGGGACTTGTGGTGACTTCCAAAGTGAGTGTGTAGCAGTTTGAAAGTCAATTCTGATATACCGTAGCGTTTGTGATTTGGAGCCTGATTTGTCAATGGAAATGAGGTCATGGCGTGAACTGCCTTTCTAAGGCGGACAGGTCAGATCGGAGAGGGGATCTGCTCGGTTCGATGAGATGCTCTATTTATGGGATGCAAACGACTGGTCTTGCCTGTTTCAGGGATGTGAATAATGGTACCTAGAAATAGTGCTTTCCTTTGATAACCGTCGAAGTCTCATCAAGAAAGTTCGCGGCCTAGTTGAGCAGATCTTTAGCCTTTTATCTATTTCCAAGACGACGTCACCATCTTGGCTTCACCGAGTTGGAAGAACGCCCCAGGAATGGACTCAAAGAAGAGGCGGCTTATTCATCTACAAAGCAACAAGAAACAGCAACGAAGTCATTCATTTTTTACTCGCCTTGGGGACTTGTCACCGATTCTTTTCTACCCAACTTTGTGAGTTGTCCCGAAGTCTTACATAAGCGAGCAGAACAAGGAGCATCTGAAGCAAAGCACGTGACCTCAATTCCAATGTGTCCTACTGAATAGCGGTTTCCGTTTTCGGCAAGGCGCGCTGAGCAGGTTTGAGAAGGTTTTCCCAAGGTCCGAGTTTTGGGTGAGCGATGGAGGTACCGGCTACTTTGCGGTACTTGCGAGGACATGAGGCCAGGCCATCAAGGTTGAGCTGGAGGACAGACATGTCAAGAAGCATCACGGAAATATTTGTGCGATCAAAATCTCCTGATAATATCATATGTTTTTTTATTTTCAACCCTTCTTGACAAACGTGTCAGACATCATGATGCGTCCGTTTGTCCCCTTTTCCTCCTTTGCAGACGAATACCGATTGCCCGCTTTGCTGAGAGAACCCAAAGTATGCCAGACACCGTAAACGCCGGCCGTAAAGGCAAATGTGTAATCATCGAATAACCCGCCATGTCCATATTACCGTATAATCATTGATGAAAGCAGAGGCAAGTCGCAAGAGGCCACCAGCGTTGCGCCTCCGTAGCGTGAATGTGCCTGTTTCTCGGGCTGGCATTCTCAGTGGTGGTACACCTCGCTGTAGCGGCCGACAAGCAGGCTGCCCAGGAATGTGCCGCCGAGGACAGACATGAAGTAACCGACATTCATTGTCATGACAGCCAGCATGCTGCAACACAAAATCACCAGTCAGCTTCAAGAGCCCCCCTCCCGATCATAGCAAATTGCAGAAGGTATAGATGAAGACACTCACAGCAGGTATCCAACGCCAACAATAACGGTATCCATGGCCGCCCTTACGGGATCGACGCTGAACCGCCACGGCCGCGTCGCGCCATCCTTCTTCTCCACGACGACGACCCTCTCCTCGACGCCGTTTTCCGAAATCACCATGGTCGCGCTTTTGGCGTCCGAGTCCCTCGAGAGGCGCTCGGCGACGGGCTCCTTGCCGTTGACGACGACGTAGCGCCGACGGGCGTCGTGGTCGGCCCAGATGCGCTCCTGGCGAGCCCTAAAGGCCACGAGCAGGCGGGCGATGACGGCGAGGGCGATGAGGAAGATGCAGGTGCCCGCGTAGGCGCCGGCGTGGTGAGGCGTCCACGAGTTTGCGTAGAGGGGGGTTCGGATGTCGGTTTGGAAGACCATGGCCATGAGCATGGTCATGGTGGAGTTGGACGAGGCTGATGATGATGATGAAGAGCCGTCGTGGCCGCCCATGTCCATGCCGTCCATGATGGTTTTGTGTGTTTTGGTGGCGGTGTTGATGTGGTCGCTTTCCTTGAGAGAGGAAAAGAGAGGTTGATGGACTCGACTAGTGGCGGTGACGACCAGTCTTGAGCTTCGTCACCGTCTGTGCTGTCCTTTGTTGTGCGTCCTAACGGTTGATGTACAAACACGCGGAGCGAATGGTGTGACCTGAAGCTCGTTCTGCTGCCTGTAGAGCTTGTGCAACCTTGAAGAGGTGACGATGATAGGTATGGCAGTCTCAGGATGTACAGAGTAGCGTTGGTTGGAACAATGGAATGCCCGCTGATGAGCAAAAAGCAAACGAGACCCGCTCCTGGTTCGTGCAAAGGCCGAGCTGATTATGCTCTGAAGGATGGTCGAGGAGTCGGCGGTAGGTGCAGAGGGTCAGGACGAGGCTGAGAAGCTGGGACAAGTCAAGCAAGTCGTAGCTGCTACTAGTATCAAGTATTCAGCCGCGTGTGGTATAAGACAAGATGTGGCCTGGCAACTGGAAGTGGGATGAAGTTGTTCCAAGCTGGCAAGGGGGGGGGGGAAAGGCCATCAACGCTATTTATTTGGCACAGCGTTCCTGTTGGGGTCACAGTTGGCGGGAAGAGCAGCTTCCGCAAGTGCGCTGCCCGAAGAGTAACACTCTTGTTTCGCCATCTGCAATGACTAAAAACCCTCTCACCAAGATCATCATGCTTACCTTTCCCCTTCTTTTTTTCGCTGTCGTTTCCGGCCTGTCTGCTTGCCGTCCTTTTGGTGCGCAAGTTTGTGGACATTCTCAGCTGTTTCGATGGAGTGGGGGGATTGGTTGTTGTGGAGTGCTGCTTTTGGAGTCTGGAGTCCTTGCGGAGGTAGCGGTACTTTGGACTGAGGGGCAAAGAACTTGCGTGTACTTGGGTACTTTTCTTTGGCGGTGATACCTTATGCTGATGCTTCTCGACAACGCAGCTTCTGCCGTATCATCGCTTTGCAAACGAGACAATGCCATTATTCAAGCATTCGACGGCGTCAAACTGGATTCTGAGGCTCTGCAACAGACACTGTCGTTGTTTTAGTCTGAGCTGCAAGAGAATCTGATGGACTTTGGTCGGTGCTGAGCACGTTAGACATGATATCGCTGCGGCTTCTCCCTACCTACCTGTCTTGTGAGAACATCCCTTGTCTTAGTCGACTTCGTATATCTGCCGGATCATTATACCGTATACGGGTAGATTCAAGAATTGCTGACTCCTTTGGTCTTACAGCCCGACAACCCTTCGCCGCCCTCACACCATAACGGCCGTCATGTCCGGCTTGGTCTCTAGGGGGCATTATATCACAGCTTTGTCCACACTGCGACGATAAGAAAGTTGCTCAATCAAGCTCTTACATGCTCCCAGAAGCCCGCCTTGCATGTTCAATCCATCTGATAGGCCCTCCCAGCATCATTCTGATCAACTTCGTGGACCTAGACACCTTCCCTGGCCTTGCACGTCAGTCTCAGCGCTCCATAGGTCACCATGAAAGCATCGAGGGCATCCCCTTCGAATGACGTTCCATCTTCCCCGGGAGCAAATGCAACATCAAAGGCCCAAACCAGCCTTGAAATCACCTGACGAATGTCCATCAGTGCCAGCCGCTTTCCAATGCAGCCAAACGGGCCTATGGACCAAGGACGTCAGTATAATTCCTTCCTGGGAGCACATCTGAGGCATGACCAACCCATCGAAAAGGGAGCAAACGCATCCTTGTCCTTGATCATCTCCGGGAACTGGTACCAGCGTTCCGGAGCGAACGAGTCTGCTTTTGAATACACGGCTTCGCCTAATGGTATACAGCAACGTCAGCAGCTGTCGACGACACGCAATAGCCAGGGATACCTGTGAGATGAACATGGCCAACTTACTCCTGCCGACTGCATACTGTGGGCACGTCACATTCATGCCTCCAGGAACGTGGACATCTCCAATCATGACACCACCAGGAGGCGTGACACGCCATATCGTTGTCGGCACTGGAGGGTGAAGCCGCAGCGTCTCGTTGATGACAGCGTTGAGATGCTCGAGATGCGCCAACTCGTCTGGCGAGGGGTCAAGATTTGAATCACGGACTAAAGGCGCAAGCTCGTTGCGCAGCTTGTCGATGTGTTCCGGATGCTTTGCCAATTCGTACACGATGGAAGCCATGCTTGCGGCCGTGGTATGGCTGGCCACTGGTCAGCTTGATACCCATGTATATTGCATATTGCATAACTAACCTTCCTGCTGCAATGACCAGCTGGGCATCTCCAATCAGCAGATCAAACTCTTCTTGAGTCACGTCCCTCCCCTTGAGTGGCCCCAGCAAAGTCGACATGATGTCAGGCACATCCGGCTCTGACCTCATCCGACTCTGCAGCCTGTCTCGACAGAATCCAATAAACGTCCACCAGTCTCTCGATATCACGGGCATGTTCATCCCGAACCTCAGCAGCCAAACCGGCAACTGCAGCGCCAGCGGCAATATCCCCGCATCCAACAAGTCGATCGCCCAATGGTTCCGAGACGTCTCGAGCATGTTGAATGACTTCCCAAAGGCGAGATCGCCCATGACATCGAAGCCATAGAAGCGGAACCACTTTGCCATGTCCATCGACTCGCCCTTGGCAGCATGGATCCGACCAAGCAGGACGCTGCGGTACGCACTCATCCGCTGGTTATACCCCCTGAGCGCCCGATCGCTAAACGCCTGGCTCCAGACTCGACGGAGGTCATTATGGATAGCCCGATCGCGAAACATGTGCAGAGACGTCATGGGCTTGGTCACGTCGTAGATGGGTCCCTTTTCGCACCTTGATGCCGGGCCGTGGAGGGCCGCCACGGCCCTTGGGTTGCGTATGGAGAGCTCGCTGGGGGCGATGCGGACAAATGGGCCATACTGCTCGTGAAGGGCGGCGACTTGTCGCCAGGCATCAAGGCCGCGAACGCGGTACGTCAGCCAAAAGGTCGAGATGCGAGCGCCCAGGGGGCCGGGGAATTTGTTTAGCGGGTGGAAGAAGAGGCGGTACGTGATGAGGCTTGAGTAGAGGCCGAAGAGGAAGCATGTGTGAATCTGGATCGAGGAGCTGATGGCTGATGTCCAGCCCGCTTGGACGCCTGGCTTCTCGTTGAAGATGGAAGACCCGGTTAGGATCACGCCGGTGATGAGGCTGGTTGCAAGAGCAATGACATAACGCTGGGGAGCGACGTGATGTTCTCCCTTCTTGAAGTATAGCAAGTGAGTGGCAACTCCAACGGCTGATGCCGCAAGAAGCGGGTAGGACACGGCCATTGCGATACCACTCAGCTATTGCCGCCTCTGCTGAGAAGGAGACGTTTTGAGTCTCTCTCTTTGCTTGAGATTCCAGGGTGTTTTTGCAAAGAGCTTGACTGCAGCTGCTGTTGAGGTGACGCAGACGAGCTTCCCCGCTTCATCATCTCCAAGGAAATGTCCAGGTCTGCTGGTGTTGTCTGCGCTGGCGAGGTGGCATACATGTGATGGATGCGGTCTGGTTGGACAGCGATCTGCAATTGGCCGCTTGAATTATTGCAATAAATGCAAGGTGGGTGAATCACGAAACCTGATTGCTGTGGTATGAAAGCTGAGTTTGGTAGCAATGCAGGCTGCGATAGATTGTGTGCCGCGCTGCCGGCAGGGGTTGGGCGGGGATTCTTTCAGCTGCGAATCCTTCATGTGTTTGTTCTAATATGAGGGTTTGATTGCTCTCTGCCTTCTTTTGTGAGGCTGAGATGTCTTGATGGACAGATTGCGGCTTTGAGGCTGAAAGACTATGATATACTACCTGGTCCTCAGCGCACACATGGAGGTTGTTGAATGATAACCATGAAGAGAGGGGGCGAAGGATGAATCCTGCCCGACTATTACATCTGAGAGGATCGATAGCCTTGCACAATGTCAGATGGATAGAAGTCGATGTCTTGGGTTGTCGATGATGACCGTGCTCTGAGGGGTGGACCAAGTACATGAGAGGGACCCTGGCTAGGTATGGAACGGATACTTCTGCATCGATCATTGAATTCGAAGCAGTGTCATTGCCAGAACATCACCAACAGCCAACCCCCGGGGAAAACATCCCGACCTTTCCATTGGTTCCGGCGCAGTAAGGCTTCGCCTCCCACTTGCTGCTGCAGCTCAGCTTATGTCCAGCGGTGGATCAGTCGGTCATCACTCGCATCAGGCTCATCTGATCAATCCTGCGAGACATGACCGAGCCCTCCCAGCTTTTTGGACATGTAGATCAGAGTGTGTGTTCCTCCCGTTGCAAGGAGCCGACAATAGCGAGAACAACCAAGAGAAGAGGGGCCCCAAAGCTGTGGCCGACTGTAGAAACTCCCCGTGAGCGGAAGGGGAAAATTACAAAGTGGCAAAGAGTTCTCTCAGCTTCTACAATGTGGCCAAACTCCACAGCAGCGGGAGAAGCTGAGTTACTCGACTGGCGTCAATCTAGGGAATCTGCGCAATCTGCCTTCTCCGGTACTCATGATGCAGTTCTAGTGCTCACATAGACTTGCATTTGTAGAAGCTTTCCGCATATTGTTCATCCAACGACTCGGCCAGCGTAGTTTAGCATATTCATGACAGTTAGTTGTTGTGGCAATAGCTCGACTAACGCCTCCCCCTGTACGGAATATAAAGAAGGCAATGTGTCTATATCTTGCATGTTCATGCGGCCAAGATATATATCTCGTACCATGCTATATCACCCACTGAGGAAGCACAGAGCACTGCGCAACAGGAACAACTGCACCGGATATGCGCACTCAAAGGTCGCCTACAAAACAAGTGATCTACTCTCATGACGATGTTGATCTTGGTTGTTCACCAGAAGCCTCTGCGGCTATCCCAACCAGTATACTGTCATTGTTCGTAGGTAGTGAACATGGCACAGGTTGCTCCCATTGGGCCCATAACTCTCAACATCTTATCTAGCCTGCTCCCGTTCTCACCCCCCTTTTGTACCGGCTAGTGGAAGAGGAGAAGAAAAAAAAAAAGAAGAAATCATGCAGTCGTCCGCGGCACGAATCTGTCCGAACACTCGCAGGGCCCCCGTACGTACCCGTCCAACGTCGCCGATCTGCAGGATGCCTTTTTCTCTATTCTTCTCGCATCTTCTCCCACGCCCTCTCCCACGCTGGCAGGAGAAATCCAACCCCCAATGTACTGACCTTCTGCAAACGTGCAGCATTATGAAGAAATGGAGAGAATAACGGTGAAGCGTGACGACGAAGAGGCAGTCATCTGCTTGGCTTTCAAAAGGTCCTTTCGATCCTTGATCGGTCTATGGACTTACGTGTACAAAAACCGAGAGGGAGGAAGACACTCTGCAAAGGAGGGGTGAGAAACGAAAGGATCGCCAGGCCAAGGGGGCAGGGGGTGTGCGTGTGTGTGCGTGTGTGTGTCACCTGTGGTTGAAGAAGACAACGTTTGGGGGGGTCGAAAGTAATAACGGAACAGATTCTACAATAACAACTGACAAGGTGTATCTGCGAAGAAAAATATCAAGCAACAATTCTTCATAGGGTGTATGTCCCTGCCGCCGCTACAATTGCACTTCAGGAGAGACCAGGCATACGGAAAGAAAAGGAAGAGAAATAACAAAAAAAAAAAAAAAAGGGACAAATGGGGCTGCTTGTGGGCAACACAGCATCCAATATCGCTTTTTTGTCTTTATGCCGATATACCGCTTCTCCCTCGCAGGCTACTGCACAGCTGGGCTCTCACAAGGCAGGTGGTGGTAACACATCGGAGGTATACATACCCAGAGAAGCATAGAACAAAAAAAAAGGGTGGTGGTGGTGTGGGAGAGGGAGAGGGAGAGGGACACACGGGACGCCGAGATCTGTCTGATGGTATGTATCTGGGCGTGAGCAGTCAGCCAGCTGAAATGGGACAGAGAATAAAATTGTATAAAGAAAAAAGGAGGGTTGGTCAGCTCTTGTCTGGTGGGAGCAAGCTTGGCAAGGCTTGTCGTTTTTTTCTTCTTTTTCGGTGACGGGGAGGATGATTTGTGTAATGCACCCTCTGTGTTATACAGATATTGCAGCATACTGATATACATGGCTGGCTACCAAATGCCACGATATCAACATGGCCCCAGTATCGAGAATAGAGGCATATTTCTGCATCGAGTAATACGCAGGAAGCACACGCAAAACCTGTTGAGTTACCACATACCTAGCTAAGGGACCTCGTAGAGACAACGCAAGATGCGCTCGTCGCACATGGACCCAGGAACACGGCCAATAGACGGAGTAGCACCTAACGCAATGCATGTCTTGATTCTCCTCTCTCCGTCCACGCTATTGCTTTTTCTCCCTTCATGGTTCTTTGGGGATTGAACAAACAACCACAAGGGTCTGAGCGAGTACGAATACCACAGGGAGAACGAAGTCTTCCCGGGCATTGGAGAAGCGAGAGGGGGATCTCTCCTGGCGCAGATGTACGCCCCGAACACCTCTTGCACGCTCCGATTCGGCTTCTGCAGACAGCTTCTTAACCTCATTCGCTTGCTACACAAGGTCATACTACTCAAGAGTTTTGTCTTTGTTTGGTAGTGAGAGTCCAGTCATGTACTGCAGCAACCGTGATGGCGAAAAGAGCTACAGACACTTGACATTTCCATCCACCACAGAAGACCATCAGATATTCCTCAACACTCCCATGGCCCCCCTCCAACATACGCAGTACTGATAGCCTCAAGAAAACCCATCATCTTTCCAGTAGTAAACATAAGCTCTGCAGGACCGTCTAATAAGCGCCTCCAGCACAAATTAACCGCCCTCACCATCACTCTTTTGCTCAGCCTCCCCCCCCTTCCCTTGTCGTATATATACACACACACCCATCTAATACTACTACGTACATCTTGAGTTGGGACACGCCTCAGATTGAAATCCCTCCCCCTTCTAATATTGTTTCTCTTGTTTGAAAGTTGAAGATTTTAGTAGTATATGAAAAAGTGTTTCCAAGTCCAACACGTGGCAAATGGCCGAGAAACGAAGACCAGTAGCAAAAAAGCATAAACCAGACACCGGGCCTTTTTCTTCCCCCTCCCCCCCTGTAGTCTGCTCAAGAGAAAAAGAGACAGCCGAGACACGTTTGTTGTTTAACCAGGGCAAAAGGGTAAGACATAGTTGAAGAGGCATTTCCTTACAGCAAATCAAGATCTAATCCCTCAAGACCTCATGATTCCACCGAAAGTTAGAACCTCAGAGCCATCCCATCACCTCCCCTTTCCAACATCACACATCTTTCATTATCTTCTCAAAATAACGTCCCAATAATACATACATGCATCATCTTGCATTCCCTCCCCAAAGGATCCAATAAACCTCGACCCAACCTTGAGCCCTCGAGCCACAGCTGAATAAAAAGAAAGAGATTAAAAAAAAGAATAAAAAAAAAGGAATAAAACCTCAGTTGACAAACCTTCTCATCTCGCTTCCCTTGTGTTTTTTTGCCCCCAAGGCAGACTCGCCTGCCGCCTGCGCTTGCTTCTTCAGCCGCATTTGTTTCAATATTTGTTTGTCAACTACCTTATCATATCATAGGTACCAAAACAAATTCACCCGCCTGAGCCAGACCAGCTTTGCCTGTTGTTTCTTCGTCCCGTGCCGATCTCCCGGCATCTTCTCTTTCCGTTCTGGCCCCCCTCCTCCCTCCCCTTGATCTGTCAGGGCTGAGCTGCTGAGGAACAACAGCTCCCTGTCATTTTATTGCCCGCGTGGTTAATGCCGATTTGTGCTTGTAAACACTGGTTGCTGTGCTCCAGGCTCCTCAGGCATAGTGACTGCGGTACTCGAAGATAGATAGAGGAGGCAATCAAGGACAACAGCTGAAACTTGCAGTCTGGCTCATGCAGTCGTGTAGAGTACTCAAAATAGACACCATGTACTCACAACGCAAGATGTACAAATGCATTCATTAAAAAAAAAAGGACGAGTGCTCAATTCTCGTGATTAACACTACTGCTGGCTCCGACCCTCGTCCAGTTTCGCCAGCATGCCAAGCACACACTGTCAAATGAAAACAAAGCCTTTTCCAAACTCCCCCAAAACCACCTGTGTGAAAGGTACCTGGTAGCCTTCTTTTTGAACCCAATGAAACCCGTTTGTTGCCTTATGTATACTCCCATTGGTTACCTTGCCCATCCCGTTCCATCCATGCTCTTTGACAGAGGAAAAAAGACCCAGCCCACCCGTCTTAGAACGCCAAATGTACAAAGTAAAGAATAGCTGTAAAGTTGGGGCTGAAATAAGGAGTTTGGGGAAGAGAAGCGGCAACCCAAAGACAGAAACCCCAGAAATAACCAGATACCCCGTCGATCCTTGAACAATGGCATTCAAGGGCCAGCCGTATCTCGTTACCGAAGTAACAGGGTACCCCAAAAGAACCTAAAAGAGCGTATTAAATGAAGGATAAAAGACCTCAAAAGTAATAATGCAAAGAAGCAAATGAAGTAAAGGTAAAGAAAGGACAGAAGAAGAGGAGGGAGCAAGAGGGGTTTCGCAAGAAGAAAAAAAACTCCAGAATCCTCAGACCCTCCCCAGATATGTGAACGTTTCGATCCGGAGAGGATATGTGTCTCCAAGCAGGAGCTGATCATCCCTGCTTCAACGGCCAAGGCGCATCTGTAGTTCGTCTGCGACCCTCATTTCTCTGATTTCTCTGCACAACAAGGGGTTCGTCTGCTTCCCTTGCCCATGCACCTCCTTCTCCTCCTCCGATGGGTATCTTGAATCATAGGCATGCGCTCCATGCGTTTCCCGACGTAATGTTGTATGCTGTGTGGTGGGATACTGTTTGTACAAAGTGGTGGGTCACTCGTCGAAGCCCCCCCAGTGCTGTGTCCCTGTTCTCGGGCTGCAAGTGCGCATTTAGTTTGCCTCTCCGTTGCGTTGGGCTCCGTCGTCAGATCCTCCTTGATTCTCGGCGTTCTCCTGGCTCTTGCTCTCACAGCCCTTGACCAGTCTGTGTCTCTGTCCATGGTGCAACATCAGAGCGTCAGTAAATCGGTACCGCAGTCGGATAGATAGATAAGAGAGAGAGAGAGAGAGAGAGAAAGAGAGGCAGTACACACCTTGAGGGCATCCTTTCTTGAAAAGCTCTTGGAACAGTAGTTGCACGGGAAAGGCTTGACAGCCAGGTGAATCCGTTTATGGCGTTTCAGGTCATGGTTACGGCTAAAGGACTGCACGCACTGGTCGCATTTGAAAGGCCGCTCGGGCTGTGACTGGGGTGGCGGGTGAGGATACATCAAGCCGGGTCCGCCGTAGGTAGGCACCATGCCGGGAATCATCGAGAGCTGGCTGCCGGGCTGGTGAATGTTGGACATGATCGGGCCGCCCATTCCCCCCATTGGCGAGTGGTAAGCCGGATAGGGAGCGCGATAAGAGGCCGGAGGCTCCAGGGAGGGCAGCGGATGCTGGCCGGACAGTGAACCCAGGCCCCGAGAAAGCGGCGCCGCACCCGCGGAGGAGTGGTTGTTGGGCGAGTGCTGCGGTGCGTAGGAGAAGCCGGGCTGGCCCTGAGCACTCGACGACGGGGCGTAGCTGGGCGCACTGATGGACGACCGGCCGTGGCCGTACGGTTCCTGGTGGGCGCCGGCTGTGTTGGCCAGCGAAGGCGTGTTCGTCATGGCGGGCGGCTGGCTCATGGCGACGGAGGGCAGACTGGTGGGCAAGCTGGAGTGGTTGTCCTGGCTGGCAGACGACTGGAACGGGTGGTGCTCATACGATGCCTCTCCGGCGGCGGTGGGAGACGGGGTGCTTCGCTGGGCGCTGTACGGTTGGCCGTAGACGGTTCGTGGCGTGTACGGCGTCGTGCCCATGGGCGGCTGGGTGCCGTTGGCGGCATTGAGGGGATACTGCGATCCCCCCGGCGTCTGCAGAGCTCCTGCTCCCTGCTGGGTCGACGTCGAGTTGACGCCGTAGGACGAGCTGCCCGGCGTGGGCCACCTGCCGTGGACGTGGCTGTATGTGTACTGCTGCATCGTGGGTGAGGCCGGCGATGCAGAGCAGACGGATCGAGGCTTGTTGGAGCAGAACGGCAGCAAGCAATACGAGAAGTACCAGCAGAAGTCGGGAACCAGGGCCACATGCAGGGGGGGGAGGGGGGACGACTGGTTTTATACGCCTCGTTGTTGCTGGATCTGGGCAGGCGAGGCAAGAGTTGGATGGAATCAGTCGGTGCCCAGTAGCGAGCAGGTCGGTAGTGAGGAGAGGTGTAAGAGTGAAAGCGTGCAAGTGTCGAGGTGTGAAAGTGTGAAAGCGCTCAACAATACACTGGCTCAATAAGGTTTCCTCTGGTTCCGGGGCGGCGTCGATGAGATGGCGCCGGATTGGGGCAACTGGGACGGAGCACGACTCTGCTCTGCTCTGCTCTGCTCGTACGTATGTACAGACAGACAGACAGCACTGCAGCCCTAAGCTTTTGCTCTTATACCTGCGCTTGTATGCCGTTCCAGGCAGCCGGCCAGGTATCCGGACAGCTGCTGCTTCTTGTCTCAAAGTTCCAGGTCTCTTAGCTCGCCGTGCGTGATGTGCGCACCCCCCTGTGGGTATCCAGTGGCAGCAGCCCCTGCCGGGCATTGGATGGCAGCCGCAGTATGTACAAGTGCGTACGCACGCACGCACGCACGTCTGTCTGTATGTGAGTAATAGGGAAAGCATGGACATCTGTCTGCTCTTCTTTCTCCGTACGAGTATGTACACACTGAGAGTGTATAAAGTGGGCATGGCCTTTTCGCGGAGCAGAAATGACTCCTCCTCCTCGGCCAAATACCAAGAGCCCTTCCTGCTATCCGACCCAGATGACTCTCGTTCGGGTCACATAACCAGAATCTTTAGAAAAAACCTGTCAACACTTGGACAAAGACGTCAATGTTGAACGACAAGCCACCAGAAGAGAACTCACTCTGAGCCAAGCACAGGGATCGCGCATACGCAGTCCCCAGGGCGATGGCGACTACTACCACTAGCAGTAGCAGCAGCCACTCCCCTCTTACGGGGGTTACCTGCTGAACTCTTCAACTGCTCATCTCTTGCCGTGGCTCTCCCACCCTGCGCTTAACCCTCAGCCTCTCGCCTTTAGCGCCCCAGCGCCGGCTGTGTCAAGTCATTCTTCTCCTCACTGCAGTTGGGTCTTGCCTCTGCGCTTCTTTTGTCGCTGAGCCACTTGGCTGCTTGTTGCCTTGGCCCTTGGAACGGGACCTGAAGGCCATGGGCCCCGATCCTGGTCGTGGGCCCCGGTGTGGATGCGAGGTAGCACTACCGTCATTCGGGTTCGAGAGCTGTATGGCTAGCGCTCTCATAGATTGGAGGGCTGAAGCGGAGCCATGGATCAGTGTCGCCAGCTCGTCGCCGGGGGGGTGTGGTCTTGTCTGGCAGCTAGCATGTATCAGTACTAGCCCGTTGACTGAGAGAACGATGAGGACACAGAGAGGAGAGAGGAAGAGAGGAAACGGAGCAGAAGGCGGCGAGAGAGAGAGAGAGACGAGTGCGGATCCGGCGAGCAGAGGGGATACAGAAGGCCGTCTTGTCTCCAACAAGACGACGACCAGCGGTAATAGGGCGATGTTGACTGCCGTTGCGCTGCTGCCGTCAGCATTCATCAGAGCACTCTCTCCTCGTCCTTGACCGTCATCCTGTCCCTTTGTTCCTTTCCCCTGCTACTCTCCCATCTTCTGTTCTACTACCTGTAAACAGTATCAAGGCGCAATTCCTCAATTCGAATAATACTACTCCCGTCCCTCCACCCTCGCTCACCACTCAACCAACACACCTCTTCTCTCTGCGGTTGCTCAAAAGTCACAGGCTGCTAGTAGTACGAGTAGATGTTGCAGCGGCTGCAGGGGAGTGCCGACGGGCAGAGAAGGGGGGGTGAGGGGGCGTGCGATGGCCTGTGAGAGAACAAGCGACAACCAAGAAAGTTCCGCTTCGTATGAACGCACATTGGATGCATGTACGAGTAATACTACACCTTTCCGGCGAATGGCTGCGCAGGGCTGGCACGCAGCGGGAAGGGCTTGCAAAACTGCCAGCCCCCATGGTGGCCAGTACGCTAATGGCAGCAGCAGTATGTAGAATCATCCACTCGCAAGCAGCAAGCAGCATTTGTTGCATGTAGTCCGCGCAGCCAACCTGCAGCAGCAGCGAATAAGCTCGTAAATGCGACCTACCTCTTTACCTCTGGGCGCGTTATGAGATGCTCTGCAAGTGCTAGCAGTTCTCCTAGCACTCGTTCATATACCGCTACGTCAGCCTCTTCTTCTGCCCGGTTTCGTGCCTTGACTGATCGTTGATTGCTGCGTGGACGAGAGACAAAAACGGTACTCGGCTCGGATGCAATCCTTGAAAGCGTCATTTGGGGGGGCGTGAAGAGAAGACATGGAATGTTTCGGACGGGGGGCGTCGAGACAAGAAGACCACAGTCCCGCACGGAGTGTCGACGCCAGAGATACTCCCCTTCCCTCAGCCGCCTCGCCAAAACCCGCGGCCAAGGGCTGGCACACCATACGTACTCCGTATTGGTAGTCCCCAGAGTCGGCACGGTGCACCCCTGCGCATCCGGATGGCGCCGGGTACAAGCTTGCTCTCGAGCGAAGCGGTGCTGGTACCGATTCCTCAGCCGCGAACAAACTGGTCAATCGGGTGCGTCTTTGGGGTCGGTACGGCGCATCTACCAGGGCGTGACCTCAGGCGAATCTCTCCCTCCTTTGTACGCCGCAAGCTTGCGATTCTGCGCGTACTCCGGTCCAATTGCTCTGAGATCCCCCCTCCAGTAGGCAGTACCTGCGGCTGATTAGACATCTGCTAAGACATTCAATGCTGCGTGTGGGATTGAAGAACGTCCTACCCGTACTAGTAGCAGCGCTGGGATGATACCCACCCCTCGACTGACATGCATTGCGAGCCTTCCGAGAGAAAACGCCCCCCTTTCCCGTTCAAAGCATGTCATGTCCATGTAGTATGTCAAGGCCGTTGGCTTTGAGGAGAGCACACGAGCAACGTGCAACTGGATCGAGCAGTACTGCATGACACTCGCCGCAAGTGTGCCCTACAAATTTGGTCAGCAAAGCCTCATTTTCTTCCTTCTCTGCTCCACAGGTATTCTCGCCAGACGAAGGGGAAGATGAGAACAGAGAGGAAGAAGAAGGAGAAAAGAGGAAAAGAGCTTTTGAAACATGTCTCGAGCACCCGCAATCAAGGACCCGAACCTCAATCATCGCAATCCCCGACCAGGCCATAAGAGGTACAGTCCCCAGCAACCCAGAGGCATGTGAGTCCGGTTTTCTTCACTGCCGAGCGCACCATTACGGAGGTACACGAAACTTACAATCCGTCTACTTCGTCTCTATCCACACACACCTTAGGCCCTCAAAATCCTCCTCATCTTCCATCTCGTTCAACCCTGCTGCTAGTAGTAGTAGTAGTACCAAGTAGCTTACCTTTGGCCCCCCTCCTTCAATGTTCCCTCACAAGCGCCAAGGGGAAGTTTCTCCAGCCTGATGCGACTCTGTACCTGCGAGTCTGATAAGGATGTGTTGCCCAAGCCATTCCCCTCCCCCTTGGTTGATCGTGATTCATGGTAGAGAGCCAACATGATGCTTCTGTTTTGTTCAACAATTTCAAGCGGTGGCACCCAGTCTCCCTTGGGAGCACAGCATCTGTAAGAGACAAGACAAATCAGGAAAGGAGGAGGCATGCTTCAGCTAGCACAAGGTCAACCAGGCCAGAAGCGCAAACGCACTCCATACCCTTTGCGGCTCTGGCAGGGGACAAGACCTACCTGCAAAGGCATGTACAGTACGCAGTACCAGCCAGTATTTGGTGTTCCAAGCCGAATTGCTTGCTCAACCATCCCTACCGATTCGCAAAAGCAGATAAATCCTCCGATGTTAACGCGTCTCCGTTTTCGCCTCCCGCAGTTCGGAGTGCCTCGTCCTGCTAGCACAAAGTTGCATCTCGTAGCTCCATGACCGGTCCAGCCCAAGCATCTCCCTCCGCTTGAATTTGCGTAGTATGACTAGTAGCGCAAGTGCTGGCATTGCCCTCACTTCTGCCGACCTCAAGTTTGCTTCAAATGCATGCATCTGCATAGTATTGCGCCGCCAAGTTTACCTTGCATTTTGCGTCATGTGTTAGAGACAAATGACGACTGCTTTGAAGCACGCATGCGCTTCGCAATGTCATTTCCACAGGCTGCTCCCTTCGCAGGCCTGTCATGAATGAGATCAACCAGTCTGTGTCGATCAACCAAAGTCAATTAGAATGAACCCTAGGCATCCTTAGTAGAGGGTCTAGAACTCTGCAACTTTACATGTAGAGCCCACCACTAATGCTTGGGAAAGGCAAGTTGCCAAGGTACTCAGGCTTGACAGGTAGCAGGAGTAGTTGAGGTCTTCGTACCGCGGCGGCTCACTTGTTGTACTTACTCCATAATCTCTCGTTAGCACGAGTACGAACACATGCAAGCGGATAGACAAGCCCGTCGCTAGACTGCCAATATCGCGCTAGGACAGTTGATTGCTGAAAGGCTCCATCACGGCGGGCGTGAGCTGGGTATTGCAAGGTAAGTACTGAAGAGCGGCAAGTTGCAGGGTTTTGTTAGTCATGTCCGCGCAGCAGCGCATCCGTCCGAACGGGGAGCTGAATAACCGGATAGCATGGGGTAGAAGGACCCCTGAAGCCTCCAGCGAATCGTACAATTGATGAACGACCAAGGGAGATGTTGACATGCTCTGACGAATGCTCCCATCCTGCATGTCCACACTTCGTAGCCGAGGTACGAAGTACTAGGAAAGGAGGTATGCTGTTCGGAATTTTGGCACATCGTTTAGAGTTGGGTGATGAGCTAGCGCCGCTTACCGACACGAATTTCATCTCTCTTTTCTTCTCCATCGAGTCATAGACTGATGTCTCGTTGGAGCTGAATCAAGGTGCTCGGTATGACAAACACCGGACGCCTGCAGGAGTGGACTTCATCACACCC